GTATTACCGTATTGGCCCAAATATAAGACGATCCCCCTTTTTCCAGATGTACCTTTTGGAAAAAGGCTTTTTAAAAACCAAATCTTGTTTTTTCTCAGTAAAACACATTTAGTCTTCAATTATTTTCATATTGCATATTTTTCCTATTTCTGTAAGGTTTTCTTTTTCTTTTGTTTTTTCTCGTGATCTTTACAACACGCATCACATTACGTATTTCATGGCACACACGTTTTATGCATATTTGGCGCCACCTATTGTTGTGGGTGTATTATTGACATGTCAAAGTCTAGACCCTGAATATAAGACGACCGCGTTTTTTCAGATGTATTTTCAAGAAAAAAACATCGTCTTATATTCGGGTCAATACGGTAGTATAAGTGAGTTTGGGGTGGGACTATTTAGCAATTCTGTCTCACAATTCCGGTTGGTGCCACTAGTGGCGCCAAAATTGCATGACAAATAAATTAATGTAATTTTCAATGTACACATCTTAATCTCCAGACATTAGGGTGAATATAGTTTTATTAAGACTTATAATACATAAATAGTAAAGCTTAAAAACATTTTAAAAATGTCAACAGCAGCAAAAGCAAGAGGAGAAACCTGCATGAGAGCAGAGTTTGTGCTTATCATATGTGCATTCAAGTGAGCTACAAATCACATACAGGACAGCACACGCTAGAACACTTGGGGAAAACACACAGTTTCTCTCAGCCTGTTTCAAACTCGATTTTTAAAGGTGCACTCGGTAACTTTTCCCTCATTAAAAAAATTACACAAATACATGAGAAGTTTTGAGAAATATGTTTAAAATCATCATATGAGATAAAGATTCATATTGGTAGGCAGCCTAAAGAAATGAATACTTTTATTGAGCAAGGACACATTCAATTGATCAAAAATGACAATAAATACATGTACGTTCTTACAAAAAAAGAATGTAAAATAAATAGGTTTTTTTTTTTTTTCTATTCACAATTCATGAATCCTGAAAAAAAAATTCACCATTTTCCAAAAACAATAATAGTCAGCATATTAGAATGATTTCTGAAGGATCATGTGACACTGAAGACTGGAGTAATGATGCTGAAAATTCAGCTTTGCATCACAGGAATAAATTACATTTTAAAATATATTCAAGTTGAAAACAATTGTTTTAAATTGTCATAATATTTCACAATATTACTGTTTTTTTCTGTATTTTTGATCAAATAAATGCAGCCTTGATGAGCATAAGAGACTTCTTTAAAAAACACAAACATTTGAACTTTCAGAATAATTGAATCATGGATGTTGGCAAACACTTCTACACTGGCACTGAGAATTTCAACACCAGAAAAAAGAACAAATATTACTGAGTGGACCTTCTATTTATTCAAACTCTTTGGAACATTTACCCTTCTGAAGTGAGTATACTGAAATAAAATAGAGTTTTTATAATGATGCATTGAAAGCATTCATTAATAATAAAGGTCCAGATCGACTGTTCTATGTAACACACCACACACACATTACTCTACATAAACACAAATCAGTGCATCGCTCATGAGAGTGCTGTCAACATTGCATGTCAATCTGGGGTTTTCAGCATAATTATGTAAAAAGAACATAAAACATATCCAGCATCACTCTGGTTTCTTCAACATATAGTGAATCATTTTAAAGTTGTGTTAGGGATCAATGTTCCAAACCCAAAGCAATAAACATGATTATCCCAAAGGAAGCTAAGAGAACTAGAAATACTTGATCATAGTGTCTAAATGAAAGCCACAACTTCATTTTTATGAATTATATCTACAATTCTGTGTTAAAAGTGCCCCTATTATGCCATTTTTACGGTTCCTAATATTGTTTTCGGAGTCTCCTACAATAGGATTACATGCATGCAAGGTCAAAAAAATGCTTTCCGTTTCTCAAAATATGCATTTAATATCACCTCATTTTCCAGTGATTCTCAAATGTTTCGTTCGAAGCAGTTCAAAGATTCAGTCTCTCTCTCTAAACCCATCTTTTCCGTGAGCCTGCTCTGCTCTGATTGGTCAGATGGCCTAGTCTGTTGTGATTGGTCTACGGCGTTCAGCGCGTGTCAGAAACGATACTCCTATTTCAATAGTTCTGTATTTTGAACGCTCTATAGAAAATATAAACATATATTATTTATCATACTTACAAGTTGTGATGCAGTGGAGCAGCTGGTCCAAATAAACAGGATACTGATCAATCTTTCAACAGTAAGCTTTTTGTGAATCCCGCGTTGAACTCCCCGAGATTAGAGAAGCAGTCGTCAGTAGAATGACGTGTTTGTGGGCGGGGTCAAGTTGTTCGCGGCCGGCCAACGTAGAACATAGGTGCGCATTATGCAAATGTGTTACCCTGTGACGTGTAGCTGTCACGGAAGTGGGATTCGAATTACTAACGACTCGTTTCAGCTGTTCAGAGTCGATTCTTTATTTTGGGAGACAATAACTTTATTTATCGTGCACTTTCAGCTTTACAACTTTGCAGATCGTTTACATTCACATTCAGCTACATTACACACTGCATGAAAGGCAATATTGGAAATGGCATAATAGGGGCACTTTAAACTCTTTTGGTATTAAAGAGACCATCTGAAAAATATAAAGAGCAGCATATGATGTAGAACTCTTATATTTCAAAATCTTTTTTTATTAAACTCTTTAAAAGATGGCAACTGCAACTCTTCTCTTTAACCTAAATGTTTGTGAATTTATTCTGTTTATTCGGCAATGTTGCTGTTTCGTTAATATCCCTTTTTTCTTTGCTATGTTCATTTTGATTGTACTTATTTGTTGTATGCAAATTGAAATTATGGAGAATTTATTGGTCTTCTTATTTCTGTCAAGTTTGTTTCCCTTGTTCAGCTAATTCTCAAATAAAGCATATAGAAAGAAAAAAAAAACTCTTGCACCAAACCTCTTGACTAACTTAACCAGCAAAACCTTGGTCAACCAGCTTCACCAGAAAGATCACCCACAAACCAGTCTGAAGCTGAACCAGCATGGGAAGAAACCTGGACCAGCAGGTTTAAGACATTCCTTGTTGCATTACGTTAGTTAATATGTCAAAAATGGCCTGTTGATGTGTTGGAAATATTCACTGATTAATATCAATTCTCTTTATTGGGCACTTTAAAATTTCTCTCTCTTATTTCATCTGCGGCAGCAACTGAGCAATGAGTTATTTGTTGCTATGAACACATTTGAATTCAATAAATAAGAGATACAAAGAACAGCAGTGTGTTTGTACAGCTAATTAATCACAAGATGATGTTAATTTCTACATTGATTTAATTAGGATATTGAAAAGTTGCAATGGCATAATAGCATCCAATATCTCTCTTATTCTAATCCATTTATCATCTAGATCCACTCACATAATGACATGGATACAAAACGAATGATTTTCCCAGGCTAAACTCTGTTCGGCAGTCATCAGCGTGTGCTAATTTTATCACCGGCTGACTCTTAAGAAACTAATGCTAAACTCTGCTGTGATGTTGCAAATGGGAATGTAATGTCACCATAGTAACACATTCACTTCTTTTTCAGGTACATGTGAAACTAGCCAGCATGACGATAAACAACTTGCACTGAACTGACACTAACAGTAGCAGTTCAGAACCGCACTGGCTGAACACTTAAGAAAGAAAGCCAGTGAAACGTTAAAGACTGTTAAAGGGGTCATATGATGCGATTTCAATTTTTCCTTTCTCTTTGAAGTGTTACAAGCTCTTGGTGCATAAAGAAGATCTGTAAAGTTGCAAAGACTAAAGTCTCAAATCCAAAGAGATATTCTTTATAAAAGTTAAGAGTCAGCTACGCCTACCTAAAACGCCTCGTTCTAACACGCCCCCACATATCTACGTCACTATGTGGAAATATTAGCATAATGCCGCCCAAATGTGCACGCAAAGAAAGAAGGCGTGGTTTCAGGAACAGCAGTAGTGTTGATGCAGCCATGTCAGGGAGACGGTGTGTGTTTCAGTGCGAAAGCAAAAGCACTTTATTTGGCCTTCCGGAAGTAGATGCAATTAGGAATCATTGGTTAAGATTTATTTACAATAGAAGAGCACAACCCAGATGTTCGACAGTTTTTTGAACCTAGAAGAGTACAAGGCTGGCTGTGCAAAACTCAAATGATTGATACTAATACAAATCAGACATGTTAGCTCAGTTTCAAAACCTAGCGAGTTGCCTACCTAGACACCATGTAAGATACTTTGTTTTAGCCTCATTTTAAAGGGATAGTTCACCCAAAAATTACAATTCTGTCGTTTACTCACCCTTGTGTTGTTCCAAACCTGAATGAGTTTCTTTTTTCTGTTCAACACAAAAGAAGATATTTTGAAGAATGTTATTAACCAAACAGCTGCTGGTAGCCATTGACTTCTATAGTAAGAAAAAAAAATACCATGGAAGTCAATGGGGACCAGCAACTGTTTGATTACTTGCATTCTTCGAAATATTTTCTTTTTTGTTCAGCAGAAGAAACAAACTTCTATAGGTTTAGACCTTGAACATGGTAGTTATCTTGCTGTCTATGGGAGGGTCAGAGAGCCCTCAGATTTCATCAAAAATATCTTAAATTGTGTTCCGAAGATGAACAAAGGTCTTACGGGTTTGGAACAACACGAGGGTGAGTAATTAATGACAGAATTTTCATTTTTGGGTGAACTATCCCTTTAAGACAACACTGCATGTGTGCTTCACAGGTTTCATTTAATTTAGAATGATACTTAAAGGGTTAGTTCACCCAAAAATGAAAATTCTGTCATTAATTACTCACCCTCGTGTTGTTCCAAACTACTTTGTCGATCATCTTGGTACTTTTCTGGACCTTGAACGTGGTAGTTACCTTGCTGTCTATGGGCGGGACAGAGAGCCCTCAGATTTCAACAAAAATATCTTAAATTGTGTTGCGAAGATGAACGAAGGTCTTACGGGTTTGGAACAACACGAGGGTGAGTAATTAATGACAGAATTTTCATTTTTGGGTGAACTAACCCTTTAAGTAGACGGGGCAGACAGAGAGGCAACCCACTAGAGTTTGAATTAGAGCTACTGTGTGAATTCAAAGGCAGTGTTGTCGTGAAACATCACAAGTTAGGATTTAATCTGACTGAAAACACAGCAAGGAGACACTAGGATTTCCCCCTTGGGGAAAGTATTCTATGCTAGGCATTAGCGACTATACATTTAAAAATCTAACTCAAAGAAGGCGGCTTGGATCATTGAACAATCCAGTCTAAAGTTAAATTTACATCAACTGTGGACTCCTTCGAACATTTTCCGTACCTTTTTACATTCTTGCATCCTTTTAAGCCTCAGACTCTGATTGGTCAGTGGTCACACTGCCGTTCTGCTCTCCTACAACCGATTGGTCCTGGGTATTTGTAACTCCGCCCACAGTAAATGTTGGCCCGTCTCCCTCCCTGACAGATTCTGAATCAGTGGACTTCCCCGTTTGCTCAGTCATATTAGGCCCCTCCCATTTCTCTTCATCAAGCCGACTGGAGATTGACCAATAGAGGTGAGCATCCAAACGGGCGGCAGCCAATGCCAGGTCTCTCGCAGAACAGGAGGGCGTGTTCACCTTTGAAGGATCATGAACAACGTTAGTAAGTGTATTTAAAGCATTTATCTAAATCTTCATTCTGTGAATGATAGCTAAAAGACATAAATCCTGCTCAGTTTGATTGCATCTGTCCGTTTACATACATTGAAGTATTTTGTAATTTACACACGCATGCATATATTTAAAAAATAAATATTAATTTAAAAAGTTAAAAAACTAATCTAAAATACTTGATATATAAATATTAACTAATTATCACAATATTATTTCTTTAAAAAACTTAAAATGGTTTAATGTAGCTTTACATAAAAATATCTATATATAAATATTAATAAAAAATTAAATATTAACTACATATAACATAACTATTTCTTTAAACAAATTCAAATGGTTTATTAATTAAATACAATTAAATATTAACTAATCTAAAAATATTTTATAAATATTAACTAATTATCACAATATTATTTATTTATTTATTTTTTAACTTGTAGCTTTGTTGTAGTTTTATACAAAAATACTCTTTGGCCGAAGGATAGAAGGTGAGAATGTGATTGCGCAAGTAGTTTGATTGCTTCCAGTGATGTGCATTTATGACTAATCCAAAACTACAGCAACACCTAATGCAGGATTTTTGATTGATTATGCACATAAAATCCCATAAGTAAAGAAGAGACATTTCTGATTTTGCTCTATAATAAAATGCTGGTCAGCCTTGCACAGACAGATGATTATTACAGAGCCTTTGATATCAACATATATTAGTTAACTGAAAACTTTGTAAGGGATTTAAGAAAAAACGATATAAGAGATGATGCACACTGCAAAATAAAACCCAGATATGGTGATACAGCTACTTAACAAACAAATAAATACATGCAAATGAAACATTGATTTAGCCCAGGTATGGTCAAGGATGAATTACATACTTTAGCGTCATTACACTCTTAAAAACAGATTTAGCCATAGATTTTTGGTTCCCCAAAGAACATTTCAGTGAACAGTTCTTAAAACAACTGTTTTTTTTTAGTGCAAAGAACATTTTATATAACCTAAATAACCTTTTCCACTATTAAAGGGGTCATATGATGCTATTTCAATTTTTCCTTTCTCTTTGGAGTGTTACAAGCTCTTGAAAATAATGTTCTTTTTAGCAGCAGCATATGACCCCTTTAAGAACCTTTTGTGGAATGTAAAAGTTACATGGATGTTAAAGGTTCTTCATGGAACCCAAGATATTTTACTGCAGAACCTCAAATCGACCAATTAGAAATTCCCATTCTACACCACATACCTCAAATGTGTGGTGAAAAGACCCATAATCCACGTCAAAGAATCCCTCGGCCAGCGACATCATGGGACTAAACCTGTGACCCCACAACAGTTCTTCAGCCAGGTAAGAGCTCCGCGCCTGACAGGTCATACCTGTAGATCAGAATATATCCGTCAATTACTAAACATAAATCAATACAACACATTTCGCATAATATATCGAAGTATTAGTGTACCTGTAGCTTCCACCATCCCCTCCAAGATGACAACAATCTCAAAGTCCTCTTTCTCCAGCTGAGAATGTGACATGTCCCAGAACGGAGAGCGGACATCGATCTCGTGAGAGATCACCAACGGAGACACTAGGAAAAGACGATCGTCCCCCGTCTCAAAACCAACACTGATATCCGTCTGATCCAGCGGAATAAACTCACCTAAAGAGAAAGACAACGAAACAAACGGTTCTGATAAGAGAATGTTCACAACATTGTACACTATAGCCACCAGGTGGCGCCACTTATATATTACATGAGGGTGCTGATGTTGCAGATGAGGCCTGTGAGGGTGGTAAATGCTGTCTTACCCTCCTGTGTCTGTTTGGATTTGATAAGTTTGGCTCTCATGTTGGCGCCCACAATGTGGGAGGATCTCAAGTCCCCGACGCGGAACATCAAACAGAGCTTGTCATCCCTCAATGAGATGACAGCATTACGAGAAAACACCAAGGTCTCAGCACGCTTATTCGGCTGGGAGATCTTCACAAACATACAACCAACCTAGTGAGAGATGGAGAGAGAAAGAAACAGATTTTTACAAACTGTGATTTTTACATTTTAAAATATGTGAGTGGTGCTCAGTGATATTTTCATATTATTTATGTACTATTCCATTGTTTATTCATATTTTGTAAAATTAGCTTTTACTTTTAAGTTTCAAGGAGTTTTCTGTTTGAGGTTTCTGCAGTTTTTTTATTTTATTTTAAGATTTCGATTTTTTTTTTTCCCTTTTTTTAAACATTTCTATTTAGCTTTCATTTGTTTGTATTTTAGTCATTTTAGTACTTAAACTTCAACTTATTAAAGTTGGACAAAAAAATGGTTTAGAATTTACTTTGAAATCATTTTAACTCAATTTCTTTGAAAATAATAAAAACAAAATAGCAAGTAACACGTTTAAGAAATAGTATTTTCTAGTAAAACATACTCCAATAACCTCTGTTTTATTTACAACTTAGAAAAATCATTTTTACAAGGTTGCCAAGGAAACATTTCTAATTTAATTTTTTTTTCTAACATACAGTACATAATTTACAGTATATCAGCTTTATTTCAATTAACAATTTTTTTAATAGTTTTGATTATATTTGTAAGAGCAATAAGTTATTTGTTTCTTTATACAGATGTGAAATTAACAATTGTGTGGATTAAAGAGTCATTTCCAGGCAATGACTCTTAGTTTTTGTCATGCAAGATTGGAGTGATACAGTTTTTTGACCATGTAACTTTCTCCAGTTAATGTTGTTATTAAACTTCACCTGAAAAGAAGTTACTGGACTATTGGATGTCATTTGAGTTCAAATCACACTCACATATAAAGAAAAAGCATAAAATATGAGAAACTGGACAGATTGCTAATGTTATCACAATAGTTAAAAAGGTCAATAGTTATTAATATATGAAGAGCTAATTTGCAAAAACCGATAACTCTTCATATTATCAAAAAAACCGATTTTTTTTTCTCCAGAAATCACGTTTTTTTTATTGCGCATTCCAAGTAATATCAATCAAACTGTAGTTGGGTTGTTTTGATTAAGTAATAATAACTTAAAGCATCACTATGTAACTTTTTCTGTGATATATTTCTTTTTCAAAATTTGCAAAATGTATATAATAAGCGAGTACATCCTGAATTCATCTTCCAAACCGCGTTTTTGTCTTATTCCGAATCACTACGGTAAAACTCTGACGTAAGCATTACGTTTCGCGCCATTCATAAAAAAAACGAAGACAAAGGACATGGCAAAGAGAATGGCTGAAAAGCATGGACTTTCTGTGCTTCATATATATATATACCTTACCTTTTAACATTCGGCAGGTGGCAAAACAAACCACGTGATTTGAGGATAATTAGGAATGATAGGCCAACATTTAAGATTAATCATATTCCAAAGTTTAATACTAAATAAAGATTAATACTTCATTCAAATCTCTAACCCCAAATATGAGCATGTTCACCTTCACAAACCCCACTAATTAAAATTAAAGTGAGATAAATGAGGAAACTCATTTATAAATGAGGATAAATGAGGTTTAATCTGTTAATCTGGGTTTACAAAAGCAGATACTAGAGGACATGACATTTAGAGAGAGTGTGTGTTGTGTTCAAGTGTGTGTGTGTGTGTGAAACGCAGCCTCCGGGGGCAACATTTAAACCAGGACATGGAGATATAAATGAGCTCATCATAACTACAAAAATACATCAAAATAGGCCAGAAAAGAGATTGAGAAGGGGGTTGAATTTGGCAAAAGCGACAGAATTAGAAAAGGAGAAAAGGAAAGACAGAAACAGAGGGAGAGGGTACGCACATCTGTGCTCCAAAACGCATGACTCATTTGCTCTTGGTTATGGATGATATAACTCAGTAGAGCACAAATCAACAAACGAAAGCCACGTGCAAAAACAACAAAACACTGCCAGACCACATCATACATGGGAATCATGGGGCACTTTCTACAAAAAGAGTGTAAATAGTACCTGAAATGCTTTAAAATTATGTGCTTTTTCAACAAAAGATCAGTGAAAAAAGTGCTTAACCTTCACAAAATCATCGACCTCAGGAGGTTAACTAAATATTATATGTGCTTTCATTTTCTATTTATTTCGCAACCCTGTTACCAAAATTCTGTGTGATTTTTTTATTTTCTAGAAATAAACATTAAATAATTAAAACATATAAAAATAACAGTGTTGCATATATAATGTATATATACATAAGTAAAGTTGTACAAAGTTATATATACTATAATATTAATAATAATATAAAAAAAAACATTTTAATGTTGTTGATAAAAAGTATAAAAATAATAGTGTTGAAACATTAAGACAATAAATGACAACATTTATTATATGTAATTTTTATTTTTTTAAATCATATTTTTATACCTTTAATATATATTTGTTGTCAATAAAAGAATGCAAATAGTACAACTGCAAATAGTTTTAAAGGCACTAAATAATATTATGTATTGATATTAATATTATAATATAATATTACTATTAATAATATAAAGGTAATATGATATTATTAATAATATGAAAATATATTTTAACATTTTTGTTGATAATCTTATAATGGTTCGGGCTTGATTAATGGAGTCAGCATATAGAAATATAAATTCTTAGATTGCACAGCAAAAAACACAAGATTTGGGACTCTAACGGTTTTTTTAAAAGTAATTGGACGCCAAAGTGTACCATATTTTTGTGGAAAGTGGCCTGTCTTTGATCTTACCATGAATGCATTGACCATAGATCCCAGTATGGCCTGAAGCAGGAGTAACATGGTGCCCACTGGACACTGGTCAGTGATGACACGGTGACCGTAGCCAATGGTCGTCTCCGTTTCAATGGAGAAAAGGAATGCGGAGATGAATCCATTAACATTATTTACACATGGAGTCCACGCCTCGTCCTCCAAATGATCCAGATCACCCCTGCCATACGAAAGAGGAAGGGAGAGAGAGCGTCAGAGAACATCCAACAGCGATGGAGATGTTTTGTTTGTGAAAACGAGTCCTTTTCTTTTTTTTTTAAATCACACAGTATCCTTTAGTAAATTGGCTCTTGCATCTTACAGCGCAAAGAGGAGCGCTTGTTCTCAAGTGTCCACCCACACAGATTACTTGTGTTCATATCTAGCATGGACAAAAATGACAGAGTGTGGACTACACAAATGCACTGCATCTATGAGCAGAAAACTTGATTGAGAAGTATTCCTCAGGGATGAAGTGATTTATTTATTTTTTTGCCAATATCAAAAACCAATATATATATATATATACTGTATATATATTTGGTTGAACCTGAAATAGTGTTAATTATTATTTAAATAGACTGAAAAACAAATTCACCCAGAAATTGCTAGTAAATTGATTAAAAATTACAAAGAAACTGCAAGTAACACATTGAATTAAACCTGAAATTTTGAAGTAGAAACACTGAAATATATTATTTTGTATTTTTTTTATAGTATTTTCTTGTCAAAATGTACTTCAATCTTTGTTTTATTTACAACTTCAAAAAATCTTTTTTTTTGTTTACAGTGTACCATTACAGTATTTATTTCCAATTAGATTTAATTGATTATTTTTTGTTTTTATTGTAATTTGTTTTAGCAATTTTATGTGCTTTTGTCATATATATATAT